ATATTATCTTATTGAGAAGATAATCATATTTTTATTATAAGTAAAATACGTATAAATTATCTTATTGAGAAGATAATTATATTTTTGTTAGAAGTAAACCTCATATATATCATCATATTGAAAAGATAACTAATCATATAATTTCTTGAAGTTATAAAAGTTAATAATTGTCATGAATATAGTTACTATTACTATTTTAAAATAATTACATATGCATAATCTTAAAACAGTAATAATATACTATTTATTAATAATACTATAATAATAATTTTCAATAATAATTTGTGTAGTCTGAAAAGTATTCTTATTTATTAAAATAATTATGGATACTTTCTCAAAAATATGCTATATATCTTTTAGAGATGTTTACTAAAATTTATTATATATATAATATAAGTTTTTTTATTATTAGTTTCTCTAATAATATTAACATATATAAATTATCTTCATTAGATTATGAGATAATAAATTATCATCTTTCAAGAGATTTTATTATATTAAGAAAACCAAATATTTTGATCTTATATGATTCAACTTATTACAATACTCTTCATGATTTATTTAATGATAGTATTCTTGTATATGAATATAGTTACTATAGTTATTGCTTACAGAATCAGCAATTCAAATGTTTAATCTGTTTGAATTATTTACAAAATAAAGTTAAAAAAAATACTAATATTTTAATAAAAAGTTTAATAAAAAATTTAAATAAAAACTTACTTAAAAAAAATACTGATAAGGATAATGAAGATTCAAATAAAATTCATAAAATATCTGATGATATAATGATTAAGCTCTAATTAGAATAAGCAAAGAAATTATTTACTGAAATGTAAAATCAAATATATAAAGCAAAAAAAAATAAAAATTAATAAAACTATCAAGTACTATATAATATATAATAAAAATTATATTATAATATATTATCTATATATAAATTGTAGTCTAAAAATTGATTTACATTTATTTGTTATGTAAATGATATAATTATAATTTATGGAAATTATTGACTCAAGATAGCTAATTATTTTAACTATCTTTGCTAAAATAATATATATATTTTCTTGAAGAATATTAAAGTAGGGTAGTGCAATTCAGATTGAGTTAATTTATGTTGATCTGATTCAGATTTATATATAATGTTATATGCAAAATAAAATAAACTTTTTGAGAAAACATTCTCATATTTTCAAGAGTGAAAAGAAAAGAGAGTGGAAGCTAATTATGATTTTTATATTAAATACAGATTAATTAAGATTAGTAATATTTATCACTATTAATATTAAGATATATATAATTATTAAGATATATACTAATATACTTACTTATCATATATACTTATAATTTCTTTATATACTCTTATCATTTCTCTATATTTTCACATTTCTCTATATTCTCATCATTTCTCTATTTCTCTCTAATATATAAGTAATAAATAAAAAATATCTCAGTATATTTAATATTGATAAATTATTTAAAGTTTCAAAAAAGAAATTTTGCAAAAATTTGTGGCTGCTTGTTTTTAATATGTGAATATAATATAGTAGTTAAAAATATAAGAATAATGATTTTTGGATTATTTACTCCTATTATTTAGCAAAATATAAAGAATCAAGTATATGTAAAAAAGACATTCCTATTGAGAAGTAAAGAAAAACTAGTAAGCTTGATTCTGAAAAGCATGATACAAGAATAAAAATAATATATATTACTTCAACTTAAATAATTCATATTAAATATTTCAAAAATATATTTAATTATAGTTATCCAATTGAAGATAATAACAAGTTTAAATGATCTAAAATCATTCAACAAATGATAACTAATAAAGTAATAAAATTATATACATCACTGATCATTATGATTACTATCAAAAAACTAACAGAAAAGAATAGTTTAGATATTATTAATCAAAATCTATGCCAGACTGAAGTTACTAATATTTTTAAAAGATATATAGACTATTAATAGCTTATCTTATAGACAAGATGAATTTAGAACTTAATACTTAAAATTCACTTAAGTTATTAGTTAATAAAGATTATAAAATTAAATATTTTAAGATTATTCAACAATTATTAAAAGATTTTTGCTTTGTAAGTTCTTGGTAATTGAAAAAACTATAATATTATGGATAACTTATACTTATAGATTCTATTTATAATATTAATAAATATTTCTGATATCTATTTACTTTATATATTTATGATAATTACAATTTCTGAAATATAAGTATATACTTTCTTCTAAGTAATGAAGATAGTAATATAATAATTAAGATATTAAAGATAATTTGAGAATTCGCATCTTGTTAATATTCTTAGTATATACTTAATAATCAAAGTAATATGGAGATTAATAATATTACAAATACTTTTCTCAGCATTATATGTGATAAGCAAAATTATGATATTATTTTATGTACTATTTATGTAATATGTATATGACTATATAATAAATTGATTCTAGCTATATATAAAAGAATAAGTATAGATTATGAGAAAGTAATTTGTAATATTATTACCATCTATTCTATATTCATTATATTTAATACAATTATTTAAAAAATATAGAAAAATAGATACTTTGGACATATCAATATTTATTTTTTTTACTTTAAGTTACTTTTACAAATTTATTAAAATTATTTCATAATAAATTAAAAAGAATAACTGCAAAGGAATATAGCTTAATTAGTAAGTATTATTAACTGTAACTATATCATATTTTTTGTTATTATCATTATTACTAAATTACTATTTCTTGATTTATTAGATGTATATCACAAGATTATTGAGCTTAATAATAAAAAGCAATTAAATTCAGAAAAAACTATCTTTAACTTTTATCAAAAATAAATCTTTATGATTAATATTGATGATAAAATTATCAAGAAAATTTGAAAATTTCTATATTCAATTCAAAAACTAATCTTAAGTGAGGCTATTACTATGAATTTTAGGATTACAAAAGAAAAATCATTATTAAATCTAACATTACCAAATTGTTATTATATATTTTTTAATTATTATCTTCTTTCTTATCAATATATTCTTTATAAGTATCTATTCAATTATAATAAATTATTAATAACTAATATTTAGGAGAAACTTCAGCAATTATTTGCAAAGACTGACTTTGAAATATATAAGTATCAGAAAATAATCAAAATATCTAAATTTATTCAGATTCAAGAAAAAAAAAGACAGAGATATGTAAGTTATAGATAGGTAAACTTATGGAAAGAATATGAGATAAATATTGAATAATGAAGGATAAAGATGATGCAAATATTACTAGAGTATTTATCATCTGTTTAGATAAATCATTAGATCTGGTTTTTAAAATAGCAATATAGATAATTTTATATTTAATTAGAAATAATTCAATAAAATGGTTAATTAAATGATTAAGTAATCTATTCTTTTTTTCTTTCCATTAATATAGATTTCTAATATGCCTAATAATTAAATATTCTTTAAATAATGATGATCAAGCTCTTAATTAAATGATTTAACTTTCTGGAAAGGGAGGCTCTTAAAATAATTCACATGATTTGATTTGATTTGATCAATCATGAATTTTAACGTAATTTAAAATCACATGATACGATCCGGATCGAATCACATGTCACATGATACTATCCCGCTTTAGTGGACCCCATTTTCTTTGTAAAAAGTTTTTTTTCGCGATTTTCAATATTTCATTACTCAAGCTGTAACCATGTCTACTACCGAAGAAAAATCAACACCATGGAGTACCTACTTTAATATAACACTACCAGAAGATTATAGCTTCTTAGAGTATTATAAATACCGATCGAAACAAACAGATTTTACTTCCTCTTTTAAGAAGGAGGCGCAAAAACTAAAAAAAGATCTCGGGAATCTAATAAAGGATTGGCTCAGATGAAAAAGGAAAGGTGCCAGTCGATTGGAAGAAATTCGTAGGGTAAAGTATTCTATTGTTGTTTTTGCATTGCTGGTCGACATAGGGAGGCTGAACAAACTTTAATGGCTATACTGCGCGATGGCCATCTACTGTCTTGTCTATAGTACTGCATGTTGGGTTATAATGATCTTTATTGCAGGAAGGAACCCACTCAACTACGGGAGGCTCTGCGTGTTGTCAACCTTACGGTGATCTGCGTGACCGTTATGGTTTTCTTCAGCATTGCTTTCCTTATGGTGGTCTGCGTGACCGTTGTGGTTGTCTCTAGCAATGCTTTCCTCACATATTCTAAAATGATCTAAAGCGCTTAAAATGTGTGTCATTTATTAATATTTTATATTTCATTATCTTTCATTATAAATAATTCTATGAGTTATATATAGGGACATCGTAAATACTTTAAAGATGTTGATACGTTCTGGAATCAAGTTGAGAGAAGTTTTCATTTAACAAATTTTCTGTTATAAACAAACTCTTGTTCATGACTTTTTCAACTATAGCTTGAGGCCTCGAACTCAGTTATACAAGATACCACTGAAGTCTTCAAAAATTCCATATCAAGTGTCAATTCCGCCATCAAGAACGTGAATAACACAGTGGTACGGAACTAAAGTTGTTATTTTTCGGTTTCACGTGTTTATATTATATAAATTGACATGATTTATCAGCTCAAATACAATGGAGCGATTAAGGATATCGAGAATGTCAAGCCGAATTCTGGAAGTGTCTTAGGGAAGAGGCAGAATTCTGGTTCAAGTGGTTATGATTCTTCGACTGAAAGTGATGGAAATGAAATAGCAAAAAAGAAGCAAGCCCGGAAAAAAGCTGAAAGCATCACTGATAACAATAGTGATGGTGAAGAGTTAGCCAATACACTAGGTTATGATGGATTCGACTTTTCATTGCGTGCATCACTATTTGAGAGAGAATGGATTTCTCCCCTATGTATGGAAAAATTGTTATTTTCGAATCGAAACATCCAATGCCTTTGTAAAAAGAAAATTAACTTACCAGGCATGCTTCATGCGATTTGATGTAAATATTTCGTTAAACAATGGAAAAGATGATGTCATTTTTAATTGCTCTTCGGTCAGCATTCCTTGGAAAGAATGCATGTTAATCTTTCTGTACAATAATATAAAGTTAAAATATAAGTACTAGATAATCAAGAACACATCCACAGAGTTGATACATACAAAAATTGTACATTTGTGTCGAAATATTTATTTCATCACTATTGTCGAGTTTTTCACAATGACTGTCAAAGTAATTCTGGATATTTATTGGGGGAGGTTCACATTCCCACTTAACATGATTAGCAAAATCTTGAGATAATTGTTGTAAGTCGTTTTCAGTAATTTCTTTACATTCATATAGACTTTCTCTAGTTAGATCAAGCACTCCCCAATATGCAGGGCTATGATAAACGAAATGGATTAATGATCAGACCATGATAGTAAAAAAAAACCACAAAACTTACGTGAATACTTTGCGAGTTTTAGGGATTTTATTTTGGTATTTTCGAAATGCATTCAACACGTCTTCACGTATAAATTTGGATGAATCCTATTGAAATGATAATATGCCTACTAAATATATTGTATGCACACAAATGATAACATTAAAGTTTACCTCCTTGTCACTCGCTAGTGGCAATTTACTTTCTTCCTCGAGAGTATTTTCGTCGATTTTTCCCATAATTGCATCTTCATTTGAAAAGGAATGCTAATCAATTTATTATTGTAAACTTTGAATATCTTATTAAATAGCTTGGTTATTCTCTTTATAATATAATTTATAAATCTTTAAAAAACTTGAAAAATGTCATAAAAAAGATAAATATCTTTGAAAAATTACATACTTAAATATAATAAGAATATTATATTTTAAGTAGAAGCATATGTAATAATTTTAATTAGTTATCTTTCTTTAATTTAGATCTTTATTTTATATTATCTGTATAATAAATTAGCTTCTATATCATTTTCAATTTCATTTTGAATATACAGATAATTATTTATATATTTAATATATTAGATTTAATATATTATTATGCAGATAATTATTATATATATATATATATATTATTAATTTAGTTAATTAATATTTTTAATTAGATTTTCTTTTAATAATTTCTTTACATTTTTACTTATTTCTTTTTATTATTATTTATATTATTATTTATCATATTATTAATTATTAGATTATGATTAGTTATCTTTTGAAAATATAAATTAAGTTAATTAATTTTGTTTAATCTATATGTATTTTAATTATAGATTATTATTAATTTATTCATATTTTGTATTTATTTTATTTCTTATAAATAAAATCTTTCTGTTTTATAAAATAACTTTAGATTTAAATACTTTTAAATAATAAAAATAATCATAAATTATAAAATTAAAACTATTTATATTGTATTTTATCTTATTTATAACTATTAATCTTATATTTAATTTAATTATTTTATTATTATCAAGATAAAAATAAATTTTATTAATTAAAAAAATTTTTAATATTTAATTAAGAAATAATAATATATAAATTTTTTTATATTTTTTATATCTTTATTTTAAATATAAATATATTCATCTTTAATAAAAAATATATGACTTCTATTTTTTCTTTTCTCAAATTAATTATTAATATTTATATAATAAAATATGAATAAATAATAATAAAAAAAATTAATATTATTTTAAAAAAATACTATATTTTCTTTTATATATTATTTAAAATTAATAAAAAAATATAAAATAATATAAAATAATATTAAAATTTATAAAAAATTAATTTAATATTAAAATAAAGACAAAAAAATAATTTATTAAACAAAAGTAAAAATTAATTTAATATTATAATAAAGATAAAAAATTAAAAATAAAAGAATAATATTAAAATAAAAGTAAATATTAATTTGATAATAAAATAAAAATGAAAAAAAATAATTTATATAAAAATTAAAATAAATAAAATATATATAATTAATAAAAATATAAAAAAATTAAAATATTAAAATATTAATATTAAAAAATTAAAATTATTTATAAATTATATAATTATTCTTAAATCTATTTTTAAATTAAAAAAAATATTTTTATTAAATAAATAAATTATTTTTATATAATATTTTTTTAAAGTACTTGATTCATAATATATTTTTAACTTTAATAAAATTTTTATTATAAAATATATTTTAATTTTAATTATTTTTATAGATTTATTTAAATAATTTCTTTATTTCTATAAAAAAATATTATAATTATTAATTAAATAATTTAAATATTATCAAAATAATTTAAATATTATCAAAATAATATTTAATTTTTCTGAAATTCTTAAAGAAATTTTATTAATAATTATTATAATTAATAATAATATTATTATTACTTATTTAATTTAATCATATTTTTTAGATATAATATTAGTTTTATATTAATTATTATTAAATTTATTTTTATTATTAATATTAAATAAACTTAAAAATAATTATTTATATATAATTATTAGATATTTATTATTTTCTTGTAATATAATTTTATAAGTTTTATTTTTATATTTTTTTATATTAATAAAAATAATTTTTTATTATTTTAGATTTTATATATTTTTTATATCAATTATATTCTATTAAATATTTTTTAAATTATTATTATTATAAAATAATTCTATCAAATATTATTAATAATATTTAATAAATATATATTATAATTAATTTTTTTATTAATTTATTTATAATTATAAATTTTATAAAAATTCTTGATAAAATAAATAGAAATTATAAAAAAATAAATTTAATAAATAATAATATATTATTTTTTATATTATTATTTATTAAAATTTTTTATATTTAATTATAATTTTTTTCTTTTAATAATTAATATTATATTTTTAAATAATATTAATAAATTAATTATAATTTTATTTTTATTTTTATTTATCTTTTTTTATCATATATTATTACTTTTAATGTAAAAATTATAAAGTTATTAAATAAATAAAGATGAATTATATTTTTATTTTCTTTATTATATATATAAATCATATTTAATTAACTTTTATATTTATAAAAAAATATAAAAAGATAAGTATTATTTTTTTTAAAAAAAATAAATTATTAATATAAATATTTATTTAAATAATATATATATAATTTATTATATTTTATTAATATTAATTATTATCTTATTTTATATGAATATTATTCTAAGTATTATTATTAAAAATTCTATTATTTTTTATATTTTATTATTAAAAAGTTCATATAAATATTATTTAAATATAAATCTATTAATTATTATTATTATTATTATTAAAAATTTATATATTATAATTAATCACCTATTTTTATAATATAATAAATATAATATAGTATATAATACAGTCACAATATGTGATATAATAATTATTAATTACTATTAAATTAAGTAAATAAAAAATTTATATTAATCTTATTTATTATTAATTTTATTTTTAATTTATATTATTACCCATATTTAATTTTATTCTTTTATTAATTTAGCCATATATATTGTACTTAATTTATAAATTTTATTAAATTAATAATTATCTAATTAATTATTACTAATTTTCTTTTTTTTTCTTACTTTAACTTTAAATAATGTAATATT